CTGTGGGAGGAAACCGGAGTACCCGGAGAAAACCCACGCATGCACGGAGAGAACATGCAAACTCCACCCAGAAAGGCCCCTGGACTGGGGTTTGAACCAAGGACCTGCTCACTGAGAGGCAGCAGCTCTACCAGTTGCGCCACCGTGCTGCCCTAGTTACATAATTAAAATCATCAATATTATCATTGGGATGATAAATGTAGATTAAACAGAGCCATTCCTACTCAATAATGACTTAATTATTTTAAATGTCTGCTGCAAAAATATAGTGTTTTAAATATGCAAGTACATATTCAACAGAAAATATTCAGCCATTAGGTACATGTGTGAACGCTACAGTACATGCAGAGGAAAAATAGACACAAAGAAAGAGATTAATTAGTGAGCTGCAAGCTGGGCATCATAAACACAAAGAACAACCTACACAGTCAAAAATGACAGTGTGACTGAATACTTTCATGATGACATTCTAGTGTTGGGCATATGAACAGTTCTGCTATCAGTTTATAGTCATTGGTGTGTTTTCCTTCTTTCGTGCAGGCCAATTGGCTTTTGGATGGGAATGGTTCAATCTCTGCTTTACTGCAACGAGCATGGAGCCCTGGGCTACTTTTCTGAAGAGGTGAAAAGCTGTAGCTGTCCTGTAGACCAGCTCACCTGCCAAGGAGTGATCCCCTGTGTTGTGGGCACCTCTCCCACTTCCTGCTCCCTCTGTGCCACTGACAACACCACCCGCTGTGGAGCCTGTCATCAGGGGAACCTCCTCCACCTTGGTTCCTGCCGCCCAAGCATTGCACCTTCCCTGGACCACTATTTCAACTTTGACCTGGACATGCCAGATGCTGAGGTTCTCAAAGCCCTTCAAAATATTTTCCACACTGTTATGTAACCACATAAGGCTGAGAGTATCTGTGATTATTTGAAGTCATATTAGTGCTTGTAACTTTGTGCTAGCACAGAACCAATGGTATGTGCATATTATGTTAAAATATAAAAATAAGTTAAAACAAGTTGCAATTTTAGTGAAGTCTGCAGCGCTAGCTACAGTTATTTTGGTCTTTGGCAAATTCAGTTAAAATACTATTTTCTTTAAGTTTGAAAATCACACTAAAGTTTTAATGAATAACCATTTTAGAAGCATATTTAAAACATGTATGTAACAGTATTTATGCACTGACCACTGATTGTCATTTAACAAGTTTTTTTTTTCCTCCTAAGGTAAAATACTTGCTTAAGCGATTGGACAGCAGAATAGAGGTCCATGCAATCTACATAAGCAACGATGTCCGCTTGGGAAGTTGGTTCAATCCTGCTTGGAGGAAGAGAATGCTACTGACACTCAAAAGCAACAAAAACAAATCCAACCTCATCCACATGCTGATGGGTATTTCTTTTCAGATATGCTTGACAAAGAATTCAACACTAGAACCTGTGCCTGTGATTTATGTTAATCCTTTTGGAGGAAGTCACTCAGAAAGCTGGTTGATGCCAGTAAATCAGCCTGACTTCTCAGACTGGGAGAGAACTAGACTGGACTCTGTTGCCACTGCACAGTGTTACAACTGGACACTGTCACTGGGCAACAAGTGGAAGTCCTTCTTTGAAACGGTGCACATCTACCTGCGCAGCCGCATACTCACAGATGACCCGACAGTGAATGAAACTCTCTTCTATGAACCTTTGGACCTGGAAGACCAAACTTCAAACCTGGGCTATATGAAGATAAATACACTTAAAGTTTTTGGATATAGCATGCACTTTGACCCTGAAGGCATCAAAGATCTGATTCTACAGCTGGACTATCCCTATACGCAGGGTACACAGGACGCTGCCTTTCTGATGTTGCTGGAGATGAGAGACCGGATTAACCGTCTGTCTCCACCGGCACCACAGCCACTTGACCTGTTTTCTTGTTTGCTGCGCCACCGCCTCAAGCTGTCTGCTGGAGAGGTGGCACGAATCAAGGACTCTTTACAGATTTTCAACTCCAAGATTCCTAATGCTTTTCCTGAACCTGATCTGGCTCAGCTGTGCAGCTAGCTAGCTTAGCACAACAGTCAGGTTCATGAGTTGTACTGCACAAACAGTGGAGTTGTTGCTTCAGAGACAGTCCTGTTGAAATGGCCACTGGAACAGTTTGAATATACAAGACAGTGACTCTAAAGGTTGGCTATGTAGGCCTTTATTTTAGGGAATTTTGACAGGTTTTCAGGTGATACTTGTACCCTTTTTAGGGGCTGTGCAGTACCTGTTGAAGACATACTTTGATCTCATATGTGTTTGGCAAACTTTGTAAAAAGTCTAGGTCAAAAGAATCTCCTGCCCTGACAAGTGTTTGTGATTTAACCTACAGCAGGTAGCTGTCTTTCAAAAGATAAATAAGATTTTGATTTGTTTGGAGGCATTTATGAATAATATTCTAACACCAGTTAAAGGATTTCCCGTTTTCTAACTATTTTCTTTGGATACAGAAATAGAGTTGGGGGTGACCGAATGATACTACATCTGTGCGGAATGAGTTATGTTACACTTAACAGTTTGAAATTTGATCATTCTGCACTTTGGTAACTCTTTGAATATTTCTTTGAATATTTCTTTTTAATCCACATCTTCCATTTTATCTGGCATTTGGAAACTTGTATCTTTTGTCAAAATCTGAAAGAAAAGCCTGTTAGTCATGTTCTAGTAATGGTGGCATGTCGATGTCAAAAGAAGTTAAACCTATTGGCGAACTGAGTAGCAAAACAAATGTTGACTTCCCTTTGATCTAAAAATGGTCGGAAAAAATCTGTCTGATAAAGGAAGGGCAAAGATCTGCGAACGTGGCGCTGTAAATAACGCTCCATCTAACCCCAGATTGTGGACTAGTGCACATTGCTTTCTGGATAACTGAGTGAAAAGACCAAAAAAAAAAAAATGTTTATAACAAAACAGACTCATGCCTTATATGGAAAGTCATTGTTAAAATAAAAAGCACATTTAATTTCTGTGTTTGGTTTCAAAGCAAAGGTTGTATCGCTTTTTATATTTCTACTAAGACGAAACAACAATCTCCAGAGTATGTGGTAATGTAGCTTTTATATGTACAGTAAATGCCAGTCACATTTCTTTGCTTGTTTTGATTTAGTGTTGTGAAAACTTTGAGTCACCTCCCACAGTGCTCACCAGTACTTGCACTATGTAAATGTTCTGCAAAATCTTCAAATATACAAATTCTATAAATGGGTACTGTTTCACTTTACTATGACAAAGTTTTTCAAACGTTTGGTTCAATCTGTCTTTGCTTTTGTTTTTTAGACATCTTTTTCATGTTTTCGATATTTTAATGCAGGCCAATTTTTTTTCTGTTTTTCAGTAAATACAAAGTCACAAGGTAATCCAAGGCAGTGCTGCTGCTCTAGAGAGTTTGCAGATTCACAAGAATGAGACTTGATATGATGTAATATTTTTACACCAGTTTCTCTCTGAAAGTCAGTAAACCTTGTGTGTCATTTTCAGCTGTTCTGTGCTCAGCTTGCTTAAGTAAAGACAAAGTGGTTTATCTTTTTTGGGGAGACATTTCTTTATTAAAAAGGGCCTTTGAGCCCCTTCAGTTAAAGAATTATACTGGTGTTGTACATTTCTGGTCAATGACCAACATGACATATGTATCACAATACAATGTGAACAATTAGATTAACTGAAAAAACAAACAGCAGCGTACAGGGTTACATATAGTTTAATTATAGCATAACATGCAGGGAAATTACAGGGTACTACTAGGTTATGTTATCCAGCACTTATGTGAAAGAGGAGCAAATGCAAACAGATCCACAGTACAGTAATATGATAAAAAGATGTTATTAGCATCATTAATCCATTGAAAATAATAACAATGGCAACTGGACTTGTTTGTAATTGACATTTTGCATTTAGGGAGTTTTCTAAATTCAAAACTGGAGTGTCTGCAGTTTCAAGATTTAAACTACATGACGTGCATAAGATGTTTTGTTTATGGCTCAATAAAAGAGAGCCAGCACATCAGAACAAGATTCAGAATCAGGATAATTTTTACTGTGATGGATATATGACCTGCCTCTTGCACAAGGACTGCTGGATAAGGGGAACAGATTGAATAAAGTACGTATGTCCAGGGTGGGCGAGGTCAGCTGTAATCTTGTCTGCTTGCCTTAAGAGTCCTAGAGGAGTACACATCCAGGAGTCTTGATGATACTCTGCAGCCTGCCTCTGTCTTTAGTGGTGGAAAAAGTATAGTGATGGAGGAGGTGAGGATGGAATCGATCCCACCATCAATGACTTTGACAGGTTGAACTTCAACTGTTACAGAATGTACAACTTATGTTGACCTTTTCTTATGAAGGAGCTGAAGTTCTGATGGTTCCCATGAACCAGAAGGAAGCTACAGATGAGATTGGAGAGTCACACAGGATGGTGTGTGTGGGGGGGTGGGGGTTGGGGGGGGGGGGGTCTGAGCTCTATCTAAAGTCCACTGTCTTCAGAGTGTTAAGCTCCAGGTTGTTCTCCCTGCAGCAGGTCAACAGATGGTCAATCTCCTTCCTGTAAGCTGTTGCATCCTTATCAAATACACAGATGAACAGATGAGGGCGGTGTAGGAGTTGTCAAGTTAGGTGGATGAAAGCAGGTGCTGATGTGAGACTGCCCATGTATGGTGGATGTGGACATTTTGAAGAAAGCAAACTTAAAAGTTAAAGAATGATCAATAAAATAAGTTTTGTGGGTGTGTTGATTAAAATAAAGATTGTATGTCTGTATGTCAAGGTGTTGAAACAATCACATGTTGTTATGATTTTTTTGTAATCAAAAAGATTCTTAATAATCTATTTTGTGATCAAAGAAATATTCATTAAGTGATTGTAAGTTAGATCTGGATTTCACTTTTAATTGTTAAGTCAAGTGATTTTAGAAGAAGGGTTTTTGTGAGTTCATACCTCTCTTTTAGTAAGTATATTTTTTACGTTTAGGATTAAAATTGAGTTTATATCTCTATTAGTATGTACTTTTTATACGTTTAAGATTAAAGGTTCAAAGTTGAGAAACACAGAGTGTCAGTTGAAGCAAGTGACAGGAAACTCAGCAGTGTGGTTATGCTTCACACACACACTTTTTATTAAAGATGGGTTGTCTTGTTTTCTTCTGCAAAAGTACAAAATGTGAATTTATACCTCTCTTTTAGTAAGTATATATTTTTTACATTTAGGATTAAAAGTGAGTTTATATCTCTATTAGTAAGTACTTTTTTACGTTTAAGATTAAAGGTTGAGAGTTGAAAAATAATAGAAGTGGCTACCAGAGAGGAGGAAGTGAACAAAAGTTGCAACACCAAGAGACTGTTAGGCGGAGCACATCATTCAACCTTTATTTAGACAGATAAGTCGCATTGAGCCTAGGAGACTCATTTACAAGTGAGATCTGTTTAGACAGACAAAAAGTAATGAAACTGGACACATGTAGGAATTGGAGGAGAAAAAATTCCTATCAGACTTTTTTTTCTGCATAAGAAAAAAACTCTGATATTAAAAAACACATTTCACAAACAAGCACATAGTGACGTAGACATTCTGCAGAGGGGGACGACGAGAGCGGTGAGCAATGTTCATAGATGCTCTCAAGATCCCTATAAGAGTTCTGATAAGGATGGGATAATCAGCCAGTGTCCTCCAGTGAGATCCATAAACATTCTCAAGGTATGTCGAGGAATGGCTAAGAATAACGACTATGAGAATCCAAGAGTCCTGAAATTATGACACAAAGTTTATTCAACTGGTTTCATCTGGTTATCAGTTGAAAATTCCTCAGGGAGTGGGTGGTGAGCATCAGATCACATGTTCTCCAGGCAAATTCAGATAATATGGCCTTCAAGGCCAGCCAAGGGAGCCAAATTCAGATAAACACACAGTTGTTTTGGGGACAGGCAGAACTAATGACATCTACCTTGAGTCTGTGTTGGTCCACTCAGTTCTGAAATGTCCAAATTTCATGGCCACACCGATGGAATGTGACTGAGTAAAATTCCCGAGATCTGATCCATTCTGCCCAAAGCATTTGAGTCTGGGTACTCGAGACACGAATCAAGCCATCATAAAGGCAAGAAGCGTGATCGGGTCCCATTTTGCTGCTGATGACTTCCTTGATTGTTGATAAAACCAGCAACCAGCCAAATACAAAACGCAGGAACCAGTTACCGTAAATCCAATTAAATATGCATCCTTAAAATCCACAAATGGCAGCAAAGATAGAAACATCATCAAGTCTTCAAGTCAATGAGATACCCAGCTGCCTGCGTGCCATCAGGGCAAATCGGCTCACCTAAAGCCTGTCTTCTTTTCATAGAAATGTTGTAAATTGAGATGAGGGACCAACTGATCAAAACAAGTCCATAATTATGGTTTGGAAGATATGCAAGAGAGGCTCAGAAGCAGTTTCACAAACAGACAGAACAGCAAAGCAAAGCGGAGAGGGAGGGGATGGGAAAGCGTCCAATCTCGGCAAGAGCAAGTGGTGAAGTGACACCTGTCACGAGCTTACAACAGAAAGGATGTACGCTGTCTAGACAAGATGTTGCATAAAAACCACAAGCTGAAAATAAAGGAGACAAACTGTTGAATTGTTGAAAAGTTTTCAAAATAGATGTTAGATCATAGATGAGTCAATCAGAGTCAAGAGATGAGTTAAAAAAAAACAAGATAGCAGAGGAAAGTTAGTCAGTCATTCCGGGTAGAAAGGAACATGGTCGTCAAGTCCTGAAGACTTGGATCAGGCCTGAAGATTGAAGGGAGAAGATTTTGGCTTCAGAAGAGCTGAAAAAAACAACAACAAAAGATGGAAACTTAAAGCAATGAAGAACCGCTCAGCAGCACATGATCGCCCTTCAAGAGGACTGACCCCAAATAACTCTGAACAAGTCTCTGATTGGAATTAATTACATTTGATGACTGTTTTCAACAAAGGCTGTAAAAATAATTCTCCTTTTTCCTGGAAAACCAGTCCAATCATGGAATATGTGGTAGGAACCAGCCTTTTTGAACCATTTTACCCAATGTTAAAATTATAGGTGGCATGTTGTGGTTTTTCTTAGGGACAGCACAGTTATGGCGTAGGTTGATTACAAGAGATTATTATAAGAGATTGGTGCATCCACACCTAGAGGAATTTGCATTTTTAACCATTTTTTAATTTTTATTTCATTCATTATACTGCTTTTATTTATGCACTTGCTTGTACTGCCACTGGATTTTTGAAAGCTATAACCTTATACAAATTTATGATGAAAAACACAAAGCATAAAAATCATAGAGCACTGGACTCATTTACCTGATGGCATCTGAATGATACATGCTCATTGCTGAACTTAGTGAGGAAGTGTGCTTGGTTCTGAGATTTTGGAAATTTTTAAAGGTTACTTAGTTAGACTTTTTGAACAACATCCCCATATGGCCAACTTGTCCAGGCCTAGGAAAATTACTAGGTCTTGTACCAATTGTGAAACGTCAAATAAAGGAAGAGCAGCCATAATGCAGGATACCTTATGGTACACTTTGGGGTCACTGC